TACCAACTTTATTAGCAAGCTTTCCTCTTCAATCGCTGTTTATTTTGATATTTTTATTCGAAGAGTTTAATTAAGTCGATTCCTGAATGATCTCACAAAGAGATTAAAACCTTTTGTTCTTGTATCCCTAAGCAATCAATGTGCTTCCCTCAAACACGTGGAGAGCTGTCATCTGTTCGAAATGAAGACAGACTATAAGATTATCTCTTCTCCATAACAGCCTCTTTCTTTGATATTTATGGGATGGACGCTTGGTGCCATGTTCACTCCAGATACTATAGGAAGGAGATAGAAGACGCCGTTGTCTTCCCTTCTAATATCCTCGAGTATCTCTCGCCCGAGAAGAGCTCTGCTCTGAAGGAATTCCTTGACAAGGCAATCACCCATATCGGGGACTCCGACCTAGGTCTGTCCGACTTCAGGACAGAATGTGACATTGAACGAGACGACACCCAGTGGGATTCGTCCGATATAGATAATTTGTGATTATTTTGTTTTTATACATATTTTCTTCCATATAATAACTTTATATAATCTTATATAAAGAGACAAGGGTCGCTTCTCTCGTCAAAATAGACGTCTAAACCATGGCCCTCGTCAGTCTAGGGCGGACTTTATTCCATGAGATCCACAAGGGATCTAATGGAATCTTGACAATTTGCCAAAGAGGTGCTTAGCTGGCAAAGTTAGCCTGAAACCATGGTCTCTAGGTGTACACCTCAGTTTGCCAAAGCTGGTGTTGTGGCTTTGTTACTGACCCGAGACCGCTAGTTGCGGCGACGGTCAATAGATGGCGTCTGGTTTTAGACGTCTATTTTGATTTAGATCAATTTCCTCCCGGCAAAATTTCCATCTATAATCTTATATGTACATTGTAATAAAGTAGCTTCAATCTCTCCAGATAAAGAATCGTTGAGAATTATTGTCTAGACTCTGGATCTTGAGTCGTCACTGAAGAGGACTCAGACCTACTGATCTTTGATCCAGGATGGATTTCCACAAAACAAACTCAAACCGGTTCTCCTGTGTCAGAAAGGATAGATGTATACCATTGAGTGTCTTGAGTAAATACCACCTTTCTTGAAACCTTCGCTGAACAGTTTGTCTTGAAACTGTCGCTTTATATCTGCATGAAGCTTATTGGAGAACTGAGTAACTGTCGTTATTTCCCTGGGTTTATAATTTTGAATACAGATAATACGCTTAAATAACGTGTTATTAAAGTAATATCTGTTTAAAATACTCTCATAATACGTTAAAGTTACAAACTCAAGGAAAGGAAATGTCTTTGATGTCGCTGAAAGAGACAGAGGCAATTTTGTTCACACTTGTTTATCTCGTGTGTCTTCAATAAAAGGTCACTGTAATATCTTTCAGAGTTATTGTCTGAATCCAGATATACATGCTGAAAGGTACAACTTCCTTAAGTTTTGTTCACACTTGGTTATCTCGCGTGTCTTCAATAAAGGTCACTGTAATATCTTTCAGAGTTATTATCTAAATCCCGATATACATGCTAAAATGTACAATTTCCTTAAGTTTTGTTCACGCTTGGTTATCTCGTATGTATTCAATAAAGGTCACTGTAATATCTTTCAGAGCTATTGTCCAAATCCCGATATACATGCTAAAAGATACAACTTCCTTAAGTCTTGTCTCCATGAGTATAGGTGTCAGAAGGACAATCCAGGTAGTTGGCGATTCTGTGGAGCTCCAGATGAACATACTGGGTTAACACGCACACTAAAATAAATATTATTTTTTAACCTGAAGATGTGAAATAGAGAATTCCATGGTGGCCGACCTCTGTATCAGAGATGATATTATATGATAATGATGATGAATATCATTATATTTATTAGATAACAATATAGCTCAACGAATTATAATTGAACTAATTTTAAAGAGACTTTATTAACACATGATGGATATAAATAGAAAGGGAATGTAATGAAATCTAGTTTCGTTTTACCTGAACAGTCTCAAATTCCCCAATGTAACCAACTCCAGTCCACATGATAAACATTACAACCAGTCAACCAAGCGGTTACAAGGATTAAATTATCAAAGATTCAATATTCCAATTAACTCGATAATTTTTATATATTGAATTAGCCTTGACAAGCTTTCGAGGCTAGTGCTCTTCTTAACAAGCCGTATAATAACAAACATTCTGTATATTCCCCACTTTCACAGGCCTATCTATCTTGTAATCTCGGGGAGAATCCTCTATAAGACCAGTGTGTCTTAATAAAGGCTTTTGTGTGTGTGTGTGTATATAATAACAAACAATTCTATTGAATAAAAATATCAGGCTTTCAGGGAAAATGATCTTTTCATAAACTATTTAATCTCTAGCTTTCAGACACAAACGCCCTTCTACAGGAGAAAAAAAAACACAATTGTGAAAACAATTCTATATCATATAGATTCTATTGATTTCTTACTGCTACTCTTTTTGTGTTGTTTTTCTTGCTTCCCTCTTTCTCTTTCTTGTTTTTTTCTTTTTCTTCTGTTTATATCGTTGTTTCCTTTGTCTCACTGCTTTGTTCTTATGCATACCTCTGGTGAATCCTGTATAGGGTCAGTGACCCTAAATAAAGGCTTTTTGTTGTTGTTGTATATATTCTATAGACATAAAATCGTTCTTTATTTTAAAGCTTAATGAAGAGCACTTGGTCGAAAGTTAAATTCAACAATTTATAGCTTGAAATGGAATTTCAACGGTTGATATTTTAATATGATTGCATTCTGCCATCTGTTATATGAATTTTTTATTACAGCAGTATAATAGATTAAACTGGCGAAACCGCTGGCAGGGTTATTCACTGATGAGCCAGGCCCTCCCAATATATATATATATATATATATATATATATATATATAATAAATAGTTATTTAATTTTATAGTCCAGTTTTGTATTAAGATTATCTTCACTATTATGATCATTTAAATACAAATTATAAAATTTGTAAAATGTTATTAATTTGTAGATAGAGAGAGAAAAAAAAAAATCCTTTACTTCTATTACATCCTCAAGTTAATTATATATTTATAATTAATAACAATAAAAAAAAAATTAACAAAGTAACGTCTATTACATCGGCTTTTACACGTCATTCAGACATACTCTAATCCTATATATAGAATAATCGAAGAGATAATATATATAATAGTTAGAAAAAAGAGAGAAAGACAGAACCATGCACTTTTAATCAAACTAATAATAAGGAAAAAAAAAAAAAAGAGTTTTATAAAGAAGGTAGATAAGATTGTTAGTATATATATATATATTTTTTTATGATTTTATATTTTATCCTTTTTTTTTTTTTTTAAAAAGATTTTTAAAGGTTTTTTTATTTTATAATATGATTATAAATAGTTGTATTTAGTAATATATCTATAGTATGAATTAACATTTGTTATAAGTTTGGATATTATGTTTTGAAACCCTAATGGTAGACCAGACATACACAAAAAACTTTAAATTGAAATAAATTGAAATAAATAAATAGTATATATATATATACTAACAATCTTATCTACCTTCTTTATAAAACTCTTTTTTTTTTTTCCTTATTATTAGTTTGATTAAAAGTGCATGGTTCTGTCTTTCTCTCTTTTTTCTAACTATTATATATATTATCTCTTCGATTATTCTATATATAGGATTAGAGTATGTCTGAATGACGTGTAAAAGCCGATGTAATAGACGTTACTTTGTTAATTTTTTTTTATTGTTATTAATTATAAATATATAATTAACTTGAGGATGTAATAGAAGTAAAGGATTTTTTTTTTCTCTCTCTATCTACAAATTAATAACATTTTACAAATTTTATAATTTGTATTTAAATGATCATAATAGTGAAGATAATCTTAATACAAAACTGGACTATAAAATTAAATAACTATTTATTATTATAATTAATTTAGATTTAGCTTGCTAATCTAATCAAATCTAACTGATATAAGTTATCATTATTATCAGTTTGCTCCTTAAGTTTTTAAAATTAGAATCACTGTTATAATTTTGTTATATAGTTTCTACACTATATATATATATATATATATATATATATATATATATATATATATATATATATATATATGACATAATAAAAATATGATTTTTATTATTCATTAATATAATTATAATTTAAATAATCATAGAATTAACACAGAGTTAATTCTTTAAAATCCTTAACAAAAGGAGTACAACCCAAGATGTTTTTTGTATATACTTAGATTATATTTATAAAATTGTATGTATGCAAACTGTTTTTGTTCTTAAAATATAATCATTAAAAAAAATACAATTTTGGATATAAAAGTTATCATTTCACTTCAATCCACGACTGCATGAATGAATTGGTAACGTACCTAAAATACATCTTTTTTTATGACATATATATATATATATTTTTTTATCATTGCAAGTAAAGGCAGTATATTGAGATAATGTCTACTGGGAATGTTTTATCCCCAGCATGATTCTCATGGCCAGGTAATACCTATGTAGATAGGTACTTACAGTTCCTACAGTTACAATACTCTTGGTGGAGAAAGGTATGAATCGTTGCTTTGCTACGACCCGGGTTCGAATCCCACATTGGGTACTTTTTTTCTGAAGAAAAATTTGCCTCAATTGCTCCTGATTCTTACAAAAGTCCAACCCTACCAGTTGGTGCAAGTAACTAAACAGGGCTCTGGCATATTTCTAAGTGCAAAAGAGTCGAACTGCTTTCTACTATGTATGAACATGTGATGCACTTATAGTAAAAGCAGTCGCTAACTACCCACCATGATTATCATGGCTTGTACCACGTGTATTAAGGATAATAATAACTTTAAAGTTATTCTATTCTCCATTATTATTAAGTTTCGGTATTATTAATATATACAGTTATCAGCGTCATAATCAAGCAACAATTCTTAATTCTGTCACCGTTTGCTTTTGTGAATGGAAGAAATACCCAAATATGGCCATTTCTAATAACCATCGGTGGTTTAGTGGTAGAATGCTCGCCAGCCACGCGGGTGGCCCGGGTTTCGATTCCTGGCCGATGCATTTTTTTTTTACAATTTTTAAAACTCATTTATATATCATACAAGAATGACATCCAAGGCGCCAATTTATAATTGTAACGAATAGTATTTGAATAAAAGCATTTAATCGGGTAAAACCCGGGCGTTGCCCGGGTCATTCGGCTAGTATATATATAAATATCACAAAAAGATAAACACACCACATAGAAAAAGTCCCAACAAACCTACAAATGTGATACAAACGCTAAGAAAAGAAGAGCGCATAGAATCCAGGAGTTCTTGCTGCAGGTTCTAAAATAAGAAAAACACAATGGGAGGAGCGGCAAACATTGACACTCCAGATCTGGTCACACTGGGAGGTCGCAGGGGATTGGTGGAACACACCATGACGTCATATACCACCAAACTTTCATATAGAAACTTGTTCTGAAATTACGTCTTCTTATCTAAGTAGAGAAGTTTTGAGGCAGGGATCCTTTACATAGAGAGAAAGAGATTTCTATACATGCGTGGTGCAAGCACAATAAACAAAACGTTTTATTCTTATAACTATAGATTGAGAAAGAGGTAAAACTAGAAAGCTCTTATAAAAAATATATTCTAGAAACGTCTCTGAAAACACACACATTTGAATAATTTATATCATGATATTATATCCTACAAAATGCCAATTAAAAAAAAAAAGAGTTATAGTATTTGTACAGTCGCAAATCAAAGATGAAAATAATCCAGTTGTAGATGTCAATTGTGACAAAGATGTCACGTGATATGTTGTTGTACTATTAGCTTTCGTGTGGTATAGAATTCCCTAGTATTCATTTTCACGTTTATACCTTCTGGAAGTTGTTTGGATGTGTGATTTTGAATCAAGACGGTATAAGCTACCTCTACCTTATTTATTAATATAATATTCGATGATAGTTCATACATGTATCTTCTGCATTTCACAGATATTCGATATTAAAATTTATTATCAATTGCAAAACGTTTTTCAATAATAAAACCATAATTTGACATTTAACTTCCACATAGTGAGAAAGATAGAAATGATCGTCTGGTAATTTAAACTAATTTTTAAAATAATTAAATACCCTTCAAGAAATATATTCTAAATTTAAAATGAAACATTATATCAAACAATAATAAAAATTAAAATACAAAACACAATATACATATCTATATTAATAAAATGGAAATTTCATAAGTGGACATCACTAAAAACTTTCGTTACAATGCATCAATTTCAACCAAATTTTCAACATTTATGTAAAACGAGATGGAGCAGGTTTTGCTTAACATCAAAATATATTTCCTAACATTAACATGCGTAACTTCGCTGTTATCGATTAAATACAAAAAAAAAAATCAACAGAGTTAATTTTATTTATATATAAATACAAAATTAAATTTCAACAGAGTTAATTTTTTTTACATACTAGCTAATAATCTCAATCTAAAAAATTTTCAAAACAAGCAATTTTAAGATAACACCATATGTAAAACAGTCGGCCAAGAAAACAACAACGATATTACATCTTTCTCACATATTCACACACAATCTTGATTAATAATTAAAACTAATCTTTAACATTGTTTATTATACTTCAACTTTTATTTCTACATTTGTTTTTAAATACCCAATTGTTTTATCATGTTTCTAATTTCGCCTAACAAATATACAAATTTTTAGTGACCAACATATGCAAATTTTATCTTTGTTTTTATTTAACTTGATATCGTAAACATAACATCCATTGTCAGCATTTTTCTGTTCACCTTCCGTGGTTTCTCTTTTCTCTGATAGTTTTTAGGTGTAGTATATTTTCTTATTACTAGACTACAAACATTTCTTCGAGAAAAACCTGGGCGAAGCCGGGTACATCCGCTAGTTCAAATATATACAAGTAGCATATCATACATTTTTCTAATATTCATATATTTTTAGAAATATTCACTGACTAATTTTTCTTGGAAAACAATTCGACAACACTGTATTTATAAAATAGCAGAAGAACTAACACGGGCGCCATTTTGTAATCAACACAATGGGAGTAATATTATTGTACGTTTAATTCATTCATGAACTCATGATTAACCTTCTTCATTATCTTATTTTCTTTTTAATTATGCAAACCTATTTGCATAGAATATTTATACGGCTGTTGTGAATATATTCCGTGTATATAGATATATTTATGTTGTAATATATCCCAATACATCTATGTCTCCATGTATTGTGTAAATGTTTAATGTAATTGCCAAAGTGTGACAAATAAAATTTCGAGTGAGCGTCAGCCGATGCCAGAAGGGCCCCGCTAGATTCCCCGCAGTCCTGGAAATTTACGACCGTCTGCATTTTTGTCTCGTCGGCGGTGGGGTGCGACATTCCAGCGGCGGACCCCCACAGCCCCCTTTGTTTTTTTTATAAACACAGTTAGTCGGCTTGGGGACGAGACTGGCAGACGCCTCTAGACAGTTCTCCCCTAAACTGGTGTCGGCTGGACTCACTTTTTGCCATCTCCGTGGTGACATCTACCATGTCTCGTTCTTTGGTGCAACACATTCACGCCTGAATCCACTCCAACATTGAGGCCACAACGACTGCATTTGACCAACACATTACAGTCATCCTACAGGATCGATTAACTCACCACATTTATGTAATTAATGTATAAAATGAAATTAAAACAATGTATATTTTGATCTTCTCTGGGTAGAACACTTAGAGTCCGATCACAGTGAATAAGTTTCAACACCAGCTTTGTCATAATCAAACAAACCTGTGAATTATAGTTTCAGACTATATACCTTTTTTAAATCCCTAGTACACATGGTACAGGCCATGGTAATTATGGTGGGTAGAAGTAGGCGACTGCTTTTACTGTAAGTGCACCACATATCTACACATTTGAAAAGCAGTTTGAATTTGCACTTACAAATATGCCATAGCCCCGTTTGATTACTTGCATTCGCTGGTGGGGTTGAACTTTTGGAAGAATCGAGGGCCATTGGAGCATTTTTTTTTTAATCAGGAAAAAGTGTCAAATGCTGGAATAGAACCCGGGTCGTAGCGGTCGAAAATCAACGGTTTAGACCATCCTTCCATCGACCCCCGGACTTTATACCTAACCTATATCAGTACAGGAACGTTTATGATTTCATAATATCCTACGAGATGGAGTTATGAGATCAGTCATATTTGCTAAAGAGATGTTTAAGATGATGAAGTAGTAAGACCAATCTTGGGCCAAAGAATACATGGTAATATGTATCCATGTAATTCTACTGTTCTCAAGGCCGATATATTGTGTTAGTTCACTTAAATACCAAAACCATGATTCTCCCCATAAAATAACAATATTCCATCGTGGTTGAAAACTGCAGAAAATGTTTTAAAATGCTTATTCAAGTACTCTGAATGAGGTCTCTTCACTAATTTATTATTATTCGAAAGCTTTAGGGTTTAAAAAAACTGTCCTACATACGTTTCTTCTAAGTATAAACAGTTCAATTAGTTTTAATTAATAAAATTTCACTGTTTTTTTTTAGGATACCTTACACATATAGTCTCGTGAATTTACATAACTTTATTTAAAGTGTTTTTAATCAAGTTAAAAAAGGAAGCAAACAACGATAAATAGATTGAATAATGAAAATGTGAAGATATAACAATATTTCACTAATCATAATCTTTGTTAAATTCAATATTTTCTAAGTAATATTTTTTTTTACTTTTTCAAAGTATACGTATAAAAATGCCATGATAATCATGATAGGTAGTTAACAACTGTTTTTACTGTAAGTACATCACATATCTACACATATGTAGAAAGCTGTTCGACTTTTGCACTTACAAATATTTGAAACGAAGGCGATAGAAACATGGTGATTTTCTTTTATTGTTAAAACACAAGCTTTTAGACAAGAATGCCCTTCCTCAGGTTACAACTGTTGTAACCTGAGGAAGGGCATTCTTGTCTGAAAGCTTGTGTTTTAACAATAAAAGAAAATCACCACATTTCTATCGCCTTCGTTTCAAATATTATTGCCTGGCTACGTCATGTCTTACAAGTGTGTCAGAGCCCTATTTGTTTACTTGCATTTAATAGTGGGATTGAACCTTTGAAAGAATCGGGAACCATTGATGTAATTTTTCTTCAGACAAAAAGTGTTCAATGCGGGATTCGATACCGTGTCGACGCTCTAGGAAATCGATGGTTTATACAATTCGTCCACCGACCTTATGTAATATTTGTTGACAATTTAAAAGATCGAATCAAGTATTAAGAAATCAATATCCTTCAAGGTAGTTCCTTGCTTGCTGAAGCTGTTGTGTTGAAAATGTTGTTTTTTAATGATCAAATGGCGACATATTTGTGAAGGCCATACAAGAAGCTTCCCTTTCTTTGTCTTTAATTATAATTTTCACTTTACATTTCAATTAGAATTTTTCTTTTTTTTTCCAAAAATATAAAGTTTGTTATTACTTATATCTTGAGTACATATAGTATAATCCAAGATAATTCAATAAAAGACAAGGAAAGGTCGAATATGCGACATAAACGCTGAGAGAAGAATTCCAAAAACAATCACAAAACTCAGAATGGAACACTAAAGGAATAACAATACATCCAGATGGCACAAGAACCTACAGGACATGTAACAACTGTCCTGGTGTGGAACTAACACCTACCTACATATTCTCATGTCCAGCAATGGCTGCAGCCTTGCAGAAAATTGACATGGACTCAGAACAGCAGCTTTACACACCCAAGATAGAGAACTGCTGTGATAGAGATGTATTCCTTCGGAATCTTACACAATCAATTATTATCGCCATGGACTAATGAGAACTATACACTCATGGACAAAACTTAAGTAGGAGGAACTTCTGTGATTTTGGCGGTCGTCTTTTTTTTTTTTTTTTTTAAGGAGACGGAGGCAATTTTGTTTACACTTGGTTATCTCGTGTATCTTCAATAAATGTCACTGTAATATCTTTCAGAGTTATTGTCTGAATCC